AGATATCAAGAAGTGTTAACAGCCCAACCCTACTTTAAATTGATTTCTTGATTTGAGGTTCTCAAAACCATTCAAATGGCATAAATCCATATCTTAACCTCATGAGAAACAAGAATTGTGGTTATGCATTTCAGGGGAGACTTTTCCCTATCTAGAAGTCAGGTTCATAAGAGAGAAACTTCACATCATCTTCTTTTGGTGGAAGCTAGTTTATTTTCAAATCAAGAGTATATTTTGTAGAATAATCTGAATTTATGTACTGGTCACACTTCTAACTCCCACCTTATGTAGACCTTGCCCTCTGTGCTTTGCATGGTCATCAAAACCTAAGCATCCTGATTGCTAAGACTGACAAGTGTTCCCACAGCAATTATTATTTAACATTAGTTTAATACCATGGTTTCCAATTCTCCATTTGCTTTTGGCCTTTGGGAATTTCCCTTATTTTCCTGCAAATCTGTGTATGTGTTTGAAGGATATTTATCATAGTGTACCAGTTTTATCATGCTGTCTGGCTCATCATCCCCCTAAAATTAAGTTTCTGAGATCCTCCCACTTTGATTTTCTTTTTCAACATAACTTTAGCTATTTGAGGTTTTTTGTCTCTACGTCTACTACAAAGCTGTAATCATCAAGACAGTATGGTACTGGCACAAGAATAGACACATAGACCGACGCATTGAATTGAGAACCCAAAATTGGACCCACAGATGAATGGCCAACTAGTCTGTGACAAAGCAGGAAAGAGTATCCAATGGAAAAAAGACAGTCTGTTCAGCAAATGGTCCTGGAAGAACTGGACAGCAACATGCAGAAGAATGAAACTGCACCACTTTCTTATAATATACACAAAAACAAACTCAAAATGGAGAAAAGACCTAAATGTGAGACGGGAAACCATCAAAACCCTAGAGGAGAAAACAGGCAACAACCTCTTTGAACTCAGCTGCAGCAATTTCTTGCTCAACATGTCTCCAAAGACAAGGGAAATAAAAGCAAAAATGAACTCTTGGGACCTATCAAAATAAAAAGCTTCTGCACTGCAAAGGAAATGATCAACAAAACTAAAAGGCAACTGACAGAATGGGAAAAGATATTTGCAAATGACATCAGATAAAGGGTTAGTATCCAAAATTTATAATGAATTTACCACATCCAACGCCTGAAAGACAAATAATCTGTGAAGAAAAAAGACCATGAATAGACACTTTTCCAAAGAAGACATCCAAATGGACAACAGACACATGAAAAGATGCTCAACATCACTCATCATCAGGGAAATGCAAATCAAAACCATTTCACGCTGGTCAGAGTGGCTAAAATTAACAATGCAGGAAACAACAGAGGTTGGCAAGGATGTGAAGAAATGGGAACCCTCTTGCCCTGTTGGTGAGAATGCAATCTGTTGTAGCCACTGTGGAAAACAGTGTGGAGTTTCCTCAAAAAATTAAAAATAGAACTACCCTACAACCCAGCAATAGTGCTACTAGTAATTTATCCAAAAGATACAGGCATGCTGATTCATAGGGGCACATGTACCCATGTTTATTTATAGCAGCACTATCAACAATAGCCAAATCATGGAAAGCACCCAAATGTCCATCAACTGATGAATGGATAAAGAAAATCTGGTTTATATATACAATGGAATATTACTTGGCAATGAAAAAGAATGAAATCCTGCCATTTGCAACAAATGTGGATGGAACTGGAGAGTATTATGCTAAGTGAAATGTCAGAGAAAGAGATATCATATGTTTTCACTCATATGTGGAACTTCAGAAATTTAACAGAGGACTATGGGGGAAGGGAGGGGAAAAACTAGTGACAAACTGAGAGGGAAGCAAACTGTAAGAGACTTTTGAATGCAGAGAACAAACTGCAGGTTGATGGGAGAAAGGTTTGGAGAGAGGAGAAATGGGTGATGAACATTGAGGAGGGCACTTGTTGGGATGAGCACTGGGTGTTGTATGTAAGCGATGAATCCCATAAATCTACCCACAAAACCAAAAGCATACTGTGTGCACGGTATGTTAGCTAACTTTAAAATAAATTAAATAATAATAATAATAATAATAATAAATAAAATACGTATCTGAAAGTGAATTCTTAAGGAGAGCTTTAGAATCAAACTTCCAGATCAAAGGTTATATAGCTTGGTCATTTTCAAAATTCCTGCCTCCCCCCTGCTTTCAAAATGAGGGGCAAATTTGCAATCCTGTCAGCAATATATAGTGCCTAATATTTTGCACCCTTGATGAATTTTGCTCTGATTAATAAAACAACACAACCATTCATATTTGTTTTAATATATGCTTCGTTTATTATTTTTATGACGATCATCTTTTTTATATGGTCAGGAGCCATTGGCTTTTATTTTCTTTAAATTTCCTGTTCTTCTGTTTTTCCAGCTAGGAAAAATGCAATAAATAGGGGAAAGAGGAGAGGGGAGAAGAAAGCATTATTTAAAATTTTAAATCATTTATCTTTTGGAGCTGGTGTTTTGTGTCTAGTGATTCTTTGGGTTAGTGAGTTTTAGGTATTTATATTTTCCCTTAATCTGTGTGCAAAAATGTGTTTATAGCAATATATATTTTCAGATACTCAGTATCTGTGCTTTTCTTTAAGCTCTTGAAATATGATGCAGATAGTTAAGAATCAATATTATATTTGATACAATTTTGTCCTTTTACAAAAAGTTTAGATGTCAATGCATAATTACTCTTTTCTTCTGGAAAGCTTTCTAGAACAGTGGGATCAGAAGAAAAATGAGTATATAGTAAAAAATATAGAATGAACGTTTCATATCCTTTGATGGAGATTTTGGAACTCAAAGGATTTTAGCATCTTAAAAATATCTCACAAAAATAGTCCAGTTTTTCCTCCTATTTTATGGTTTGAGTTGATAAAACAAAAGCTTTGCATAATTAAATGCTGATAGTTGTCTTTACTTATAGACATTTTGAACATTCTTTGTTTATTCTTTACTTATTATTCTTTATTTATAGATTTTGAACATTCTTTACCTCATAGACATACAAGACACAAGTAGACTAATACACAGAAACAAACTTAAACACATTTTATTATATTTTTATTTTGTTTTTCTTTGTATCAAATTTTTATTTGCATTCTAGTTAGTTAACGTATAGTGTAATATTAGTTTAAAGAGTAGAATTTAGTGATTCATCACTTGCATGTAATACCCAATGCTCATCACCATGCCCTCCTTAATGCCCATCACTCACTTAGCTCATCCTCTATCCGCCTACCTTCCATCAACACTCAGTTTGTTCTCCATAGTTAAGAGTCTCTTATGGTTTGCCTTCCTCCCTCTCTCTTTATTTTTTTCCTTCCTCTATGTTCATCTTTTCCCAGATTTCACATAGGGGTAAAATCATATGGTATTTGTCTTTCTCCCATTGACTTATTTCACTTGGGATAATACACTAGCTCCACCCACCTTGTTGCCAATAGCAAGATTATATTCTTTTTTTAATGGCTGAGTAATATTCCATTGTGTATATATACCCCATCTTTATCTTTTCATTAGTTGATGGATGTTTGGGCTTTTTCCATAATTTGGCTATTGTTGATAACTCTGCTGTAAGTATCAGGATGCACATGCCCCTTTGGACAGTATGTTTCTATCCTTTGGGTAGATACCTAGTAGTGCAATTGCTAGGTTCTAGGGTAGTTCTGTTTTTAACTTTTTGAGGAACCTCCACACTGTTTTCCAGAGTGGCTGCACCAATTTGGATTCCCACCAGCAATGTAAGAGGGTTTCTCTTTCTCTGCATCCTCATCAACATTTTTTGTTTCCTGTGCTGTTAATTTTAGCCATTCTAACAGGTGTGAGGTCTTATCTCATCATAGTTTGATTTGTATTTCCCCAATGATGACTGGTGTTGAGCATCTTTTCATGTGTCTGTGAGCTATCTGTATGCCTTCTTTGGAAAAATGTCTATTCATGTCTTCTGTCCATTTCTTTTTTTTAATAATAATCAAAATCATTTATTCAAATATTACAAAAAGTAAGGTGAACTTTACAAGGAGCTCACAGTCAGCTGGAGAAGATAAATACAAAAGCACACAGACTAGACTGTAGTGGGTAAGTGATAAAACAGAGAAGGACATAGTGTTTTATAGGCTTATATGGAATGGCCACTGATCCCATCTGTCCTTAGGCAAGGAAAGGCTTCTGCTAGAGGCTATCCAGGAAGAGGATGTGAAATGTTCCTGGTAAAGGAAATTACACATGCAAGAGGGTATAATAAGTTAAGGCACTGGTTCCTGAGTATGACCACATATTAGAGCCACCTGGGGAACTTAAAAACAACATCCAATCAACTTGCACTTCGGACTATGATTGAAACACTTGCATGAGAATATATTTACCCAGAAAGATAACTGTGACAGCTCTATAAAATAAAATAAGCTGCTAACTCCTTCAAGGCATTGGAGAATAATCAAAGCCACCAGGCTTTGTGGGGCCAGGATCCTAGAAGAAAGTCAGGCTATTTTCTGGTGCTTTTATTATTTTTTTCTTAAATAGTTTATTGTCAAGTTAGTTTCCATATAACACCCAGTGCTCATCCCAACAAGTGCCCTCCTCCATGCCCATCACCCCCCTTCCCCTCTCCCCCACCCCTATCAGCCCTCAGTTTGTTCTCAGCATTCAAGAATCTCTCATGGTTTGCCTTCCTTCCCCCTCTCCAAAAAAAGTCTTCTGTCCATTTCTTAACTGGATTATTTGTTTTTTGGCTGTTAAATTTGTTAAGTTCTTTATATATTTTGGATACTGACTCTTTATCAGATATGTCATTTGCAAATATCTTCTTCCATATGGTAGGTTGCCTTTTAGTTTTGTTGGTTGTTTCCTTCGGTGTGCAGAAGCTTTTTATCTTGATAAAGTCCCGTTAGTTCGTTTTTTTAAACACACATTTTAAAGACAAAGTTAAATACATAAAGGTTCATAATTTTTTTTCCCCCACAGGAGAATCTTACACGGACTTTTTCATTGACCTACTTTTTAAGGGATGTGGAAGAGTGGAAACTGGAAGTTGTTGATTCTGCCTTGTGGATGAAATACTGAAAATGTAAGTGATGAGACAATGCTGTGAAATTCATTTTAATTAAAATAGAAGCAGAAGATCATAAAGTATGGGGCATGAGAATTATAACCAATTAGTTTAGCCTTGGATTCTAAAATCTAGTATGTGTTAATAAATATAATGAATAGGTGATGTGCCACAAATTATCAGCAGGCTTATAGGATTCTGAACTCTTCAATGTTATAGTAAAAATATTATTACTCTGGGTCCAAAGTGAGGGTCTTCTGCCATTGACTTACTAAATGTAGTCCCTGGCATTAATTTTTCCTCCAGGTAATAATCTTGTTCTTAGATGGTTATTTCTATATTTTATAAGAAATGTGGCCAGTAGAACTTTGATCTTGGTATATTTTTGTGGTGTAACATTTGTTTAAGAAGACAGAATAACTAGCTTACTTGGTATTAAAATTTTTAAATTTAACTACTATACTTTGATAGCAATTTTGGTAGGGGCAGACAAGAAGAATACATTGAATGAGAGTATTGGCTTCATGAAGAGAAGGATCTTTGCATCTTTTATTTAATGATGTATCTCAGTTACTCAGGATAGTGTGAATGAGTCATGGATAATTGTTATTGTTTTTATCAGAAACCTGGATGGCATTTTTTATCTTGGGTTCACAGGTGAGGATTCTAATCATAATAGCAATGATTCAGTATATAGAGTTATAGAATTTCAAAGCTACATAGGTTGTGATGAAAAAAGATCATGTATTGAAATATTTTATTTTGTGTTAACGGAAAATAAAGCCAAGAATAGTTAGTAACGTGGTACTGATAACTAGTTAGTGACAGAACTAGTACCAAACTCAAGACTACTAACTCCCCATTCATTACCTGTCCTTCATGTTGTGTTATTCTTTTTCTTTGTTTCCTCAGAACATAGAATTTAATCACAGATTCTGACTTTATTTACTTGTTTGGAAAGACAATCCACGTATTTTGCAGTTCACTCTTATAGCATATCACTTAATGACTTTTAGTATATTTGAAATTCTGGGCAACTGTCTTTACTATTAAATTCTATAACATTTTAATCATTCCAAAATAAAATCCCACATCCATTAGCAATTGTTTTCCATTCCCCACAACTGCCAACCACTGACTACCTTTATTTACTTTCTGTCTCTGTGTATTTTCCTATTCTGAGCATTTCTTACAAGTGGAATCATAAAATGTGTGGCATTTTAGGTCTGACTCCTATCATTTTATCATGTTTTCAAGGTTCATCCATATTGTAGCATGTATCAGCACTTCATTTCTTTTCAGGTCTGGATACTGTTCTAGTGTATAGCTATACCGCATTTTGTTTATCTGTTCATTAACTGATGGGCATCTGGTTGTTTCTACTTTTTGACTATTATGAATAATGTTGCTATGAATATTTATGTACAAGTTTTTGTGTGGTCATATGCTTTTGATTCTTTTTGATATATACATATAGGGCTAGAATTTCTCTCTGTCTCTCTGTCTCTCTCTCTTTAAAAGAGAGAGAGAAAGCACACACAAGTGGGGGAGAGGGAGGGACAGAGAGAGAGAGAGAGAGAGAGAGAGAGAGAGAGAGAGATTCTCAAGCAGGCTCCATGTTCAGTGCAGAGCCCAACACAGGGCTCAATCCCATGGCCAAAATCAAGAGTCAGATGCACAAATGACTGAACCACCCAGGCGCTCCTAGGACTAGAATTTCTGGTCATGTGGTAACTCAATGTTTAGCCTTTTGAGGAATTGCTAGGCTGTTTTCCAAAGTGGCTTTACCAGGACACCTGGTACCTACTGGCTCAGAAGGTTATCTGACTCTTGGTTTTGGCTCAGGTCATGATATCACAGTTTGGGGGTTGAGCCCCACTTAGGGCTCCACGCTCACAGTATGGAGCTTGCTTAGGATTCTCCCTTTCCCCCTCTCTCTGTCTCTCCTCCACTCTCTCTCTCAAAATAAATAAATAAACTTTAAAAAAAACCAAAATGGCTATACAATTTTATACTCCCACTAGCAATATATTAAGGTTCCAATTTCTCCACATTCTTGCTGCATTTTTCCCATTCTTTTTCACTTTTTTTTTTTTTGCCTGTTTTGTTTTTCACTTTCTGTTCGCTTCAACTGTTTATCAATACCTTGCCAGCTGTGATATTAAAATATTGTCACTAATTGTTTTTGACAGACATGGCCAGGACAAAGGCTGTTTTCATTGGGTGAGCTTTAAGTTAAAAAAATGAAGACATACTTTGTGAATAGAGTTCTCAGGAACTACCAGACAAGTCAAATAATTACAGTTTTTTGAGATGAGGCTTTGAAAGAGCTCCAGGCCCATTCTCATTCTTCCTGTGGATGCTAGGCTGCTGGTTTACACTGTAATTGTGGGCTGTTGGTGTTTGTGACTATCAGAGAACTAGGGAGAGGGTAACAAGTTGAAATGTCACAAAACTCACTGTTCTTACTAGAAATCAGCAGTTTTCTTGAATAAAGGCTTTCCATGTTATTACAAGGCTTTAGTAATTCCCATAGTTCATAGAAGTTAGTTTTGACAATTTTATTTTTTCTGGATTTAAAAAAGTTTTTTTTTTTAATGCAGAAGTGTCCCTTTAACAAATTTAAGCAGGAAACAAAGTACTGTACATTTTGTGAACATACTTGACCAAATAATCATGTAATTTTCATCCTAAGGAAACTTTTATTAAGATAGATAACACAGTTGAGTGAATACATTTTTATAATACAGCATGGTAGTAGCTATGATAAAGGCATTTACAGAGGTACTAGTTGAATATAGAATAGGGACAGTTAAATGATGTAAGACTGGTGATAGAAGTATAATTAAAATAAAGAGTTCAGGTAAGAGATGACTTTGGCATTTTTTTTTTTTTTTTTTTTTGCTAGTGCTTTAGCTGCTTTTTATAAGAGAGCAGATTTTTAGAGGTCCTTACTCCACCAATCTCGTTGACATCATCCCCAAACTTGCCCTCTAATATCTAAGAAATTAAGTCCTGCATGTAGAAAGATAGAGAAAAGAAAAAAACAGGGAGAAGGCAAAGGGTTTATCTGGGAAATCTGAAAGAAGAAAAATGTGTGCATAAGTTGTTTATGGAGGAGACTGAGTACACACTCTTTTATGGATGTATGCCTGAAGGAATGCTAAAAAATACAAATGGTGTATTTTATGAATCTTTAGCAGATTCATACTTGCAGTGCAAATCTTCCTTTAACAGCATGCGTCGAGTGTGTAAAAAGTAAAGGAAGTCAAGCCTTTTCTTTCTTTTCCAGTTTTGTTTTTAAGGAAGAACAAACAATCCAAATATAAATATTGACCAAGTATAAGCTATGCTTTATATATTCAAATCTAAGCAAATGAAACAAATTGAATTCAGTGCTGTGGCTTCAGGACAATATCTTAGGGGAGGAAAATACCTTAAAAGGCTGGGCTTTGCCAGAATTCATAATTTCCACCTTTTTTCTATATTTGGACTAAGAAGGTCTAGGTCTCCAAATGGTGTCAATTTCCAACTTAAATTACATCTTAGAGCTCAGCTTACCACCACTTTAGAAAGTGATCTACTAAACTAATTCCTACTGGGTTTTTAATTACTGATAATTATCGGATGCAAAACCATTAAATGCATAACCCTTATGTCAGTATACCCTTCTGTGAATCATTCAGGAAATTAATTTCAAGGAATATTGCCTTTGATGACATATCTACCCTCTCCCCACCTGTCCTCCTGGGACTATTTGAAATATGTGACAAGCACTGTTGATACTTGTTAGCATTTTTATCACAAGGTTATCAGAAGAAAACAATTAACAGGACGTAGAACAGTGAAGGTAGCAGAGCTAATAGAAAGAGATGATTTTGAATTCACATAATTCAGATCTAACACTCCACAGCTCTACAGCTTTTAGGAAATATCCTAACTTCTCTGAAACTATTTCCTTGCCTTTGAATTGGAAATAACACTTAGTTCATATGATTCTAGGGGAAAACTAAATGGTGTATCTTGTACAAAGTGCTAAAGAAAGAGCAATTGTTATGGGAGTAGTGGTGGCGAATATGGTCATAATCAAGGTCATTGTTGCATTCAGGGCCCCAAGAAGGCTGTGATTCTGCACAGGTCCAAGGGCATTAGAATGTCTATCACCTCCTTTGCCAAGTTAAGGATCCCATCTTCAGGATCTTCTGTTACTGAGGGCTCAGTTGTATGGATGTGTGCTTGCCCATGCCGTGTTCTCTAGCAGTCACTGAAAATGCAAGAGAGGGAAACTTCCATTCTTTCAGGAGTCTTCAGTTAATCTAGCAAGTCTGGAACATTTTCAGTTGAGTTCTTGGAATACTGAGTCACAGTAAATCCACCATCATTACTCACCTGAGTCCCAATTAACAAGCAGATGAAAGAGGCCACACACACACACACACACACACACTTTTTTCCCCTCTCTGTGCAAGCTACTCTCTTGATGTATTATGCTAAGAGAAGAAGCTGACCTGAAAGAATTAGTTCTAATTCTCTACAGTGTTTCTCTGCCCGCAATGCCATTAGCATGGTAGTTATGAGATCACACTATGTCCTCACAGCGACAGGTTGCTACAATTTAAGCAAGTTATGATTAGAATTCTGTAATAAAAAGGTATTTACATTTTGCTAAATAAATTCTACTGATATAAATCATTTTATAAAGATTTTCTTCTTCCATGAGGACACTTCATACTCATAATTACCTTTGGTTAGGGAGATTTTCCCCATGTTCTTCTTTCATGCATGTGATATTTGGTTTTGTTTTTTTTGTTTTTGTTTTTGTTTTTCTTGGCTGGAGAAGGGTTGAGTTTTCAGGAGTTGAGGTCTGAACCAAAGGTATGAGGGTGGAGATGTAGAGGAAGGTATGGTTTGAAGAGATAATTATTAGTAGAAAGTAGGACAAAAACCTAACGGTGTTAAGAGTGGCATGAGAGACAGGGCAGATTTTAAGTGAGATGCTCAGTTGGCTGGATTGGGATACTGGGTGAATCCCTCTATATGCAAGATCGATACCAACTAAAGAGAAGTAGGTATAGAAATATTGAAGAGCGTATATTTTGGACACGCCTCTGAAATAGGTAGAACATCTCATTAGGTACTTAGAGATCTACTGTCCTGAGATATAAATGTGTTGGGGCATCAGTGTAAATGAGGTATTTGAAGCCAAGAGAGTGGATAAGATATTAAGGAGACTTTGCATGAGAAGTGGACTTCAGATAGAACCTGGAGAAACATTAACATTGAAGGAGATGCCAGAATAAGAGGACAAGCATGAAAGATAAAGAAGAGCAGATGCAGAGGTAGCAAGATAATTAAGAGGGAGTCATGCCACAAAAGCCAAGAAGGAAGAAAGTTTCAGGAGAGAGAGGTTAATAGTGACCATTGCTATAGCTTCTGAACTGGTCTCTCTGCCTCTAGTCCCTTCCCCCATGCTCCCTAACCTCATTCTGCTCTTCTAATTCTCTTTCCTGGTACACAAATCTTTTCACTTTCTTAGACTTGTAGTTAACAATGTTTATAGCATTCAGACTTTCATATATGTAAGAGTTACCTAAGCTTAAATCATCACGTAAGCCTAACTGGCTTATTGAAAAGCCAGTCCTGGGCCTCATACCCAGAGATAGTAATTAGCATGTTTGGATCTGAGAATGTTTTCTTAAAAAGGCCCCCAGATGCAAGGTTCAGTTGCAAATGGCCTATTGACAGTTTATGAAACAGTGGCCTACAGGATGAAGTTCAAGTTCTTTAGTAAAAGATCCATGGCCTTTTGCCTCTAGTTTCATTCAGCCTCCATTTCCCTCCTGGCCACTCCCTTCCACCTTCCACCAGCCCACCTCCATTGTAGACTCTCTTTTCTAGACTTTCCAGAATCACATGGATGGGTTGGAGTTGGTGGAGAGAAAAGTCCTTTCTGGAAAAGGGACCAGCTTATGCAAAGGGACCAAGGTGAGGCAACGTAGGATGTAAGAAAATAGAGACCAGTACAGTTTGAATATCTGTAGCATGCATACAGTAACAGGTCTGGAAAGACAAAATGGGATCAGACTGTGGGAAGCACCAAGTATCAGACTGAGGTCTTTGTAATTGTTTACAGTAAATTGGGACGGATGCTTGGCTCTTTCACACTATGTTTTGTTTGTTTTTCATTTTTTATCCTGAATGTATCAGTACCTTCTTATTATTGAATCTGTCTTTACTGTTGATCTTTTTCTAAGTCTGGACTTCATGAAGAAGATTCTAAAAATGAAGACTTGAGCTTTAAGGAAGAAGATTTTAAATTTCTGGAATGACTAGAGAATCTTGAATTATCCAGATTTAAATTTAACCACAGTCATGAGGCAATTAATCAACTTTAAGTTTTCCTAAGCCTGGTTAAGAGGCAGGTAAGCCAGTGTGACTATGCTGTTAACCTTTGTGAAAGAAAAAAAAAAAAAGCAAGACATAGCTCAAGTGGCAGGAGTTCTGACTCTTCACTATAAAACTAAACACCGTGTATTTTTTTCCTCCCAGGGAAGATTTCAGCCTAGCTGGGTCCAAGAGAACATATGAGCACCTTATGCTGAACACACACTTAGAGAACTAGATGGGTTTTGCCATCTGCTAAGCCTCACATAGCCTCCAGTTTGAAGTTGCAGCGATGTCAGAAGCTGATTTAAGCAGCTTACATATGTTTCACTGCAGGAAAAACATTGGACGTTGGGGACTCTGAAAAACAATGCTAAGCATTTGGGGTCCATAAATGCTTTGTGTTTGTGACAAAATACGCCCAGTAGCCATAGGGCAACGCTATTCCCCCCTTAGATGTGAGTGTAGGTTTTTCTCCTTTGCTTGAGTAAAAGTTTGTTCACATTATCTTATGTATTTGCTGGAACCATGATCATCATTCATTGCAGTGGGTATGGTGATTTTAGTTAATCACAACTGTCTTTTGTTGCTTAAAGTTTGGCAGCAAATATTAGTACTATGGCCTGGTTTGGAAAATTATTCTATGGATTTTCCGTTATTGATAATGTTTTTAAAGAATCTAGATGCATAATAAATGAATAAATTTATGGTAACTGACTTTTAAAATTCTTTAAGGGTTCCACATGCACACTGGACATTGTGCAAATCATTCAACTTGTCTTCCAAGGTTCCATGGTGTGACTGTACTTACCTTTCTAGCATTATGTCTCCCTTTTTCTTACACTTTCCTGTCCAGTGAATCTGTACAACTGTAATTCTCCAAACACATTAGATTGTTTAAAATCTCTAACTGCATCTCTTAATGCATTTCTTTATTCTAGATTCCCTTTCCTTCCTTTTCTGCTTCTCCCCATCCTCTCTCCCTGTTGATAACTTACCTGTTAGTAAGGATCAGTCCCAGTTCTCTTTTTCCATGGAATCTTTTATAATAACCTGTTACAATATCTTTATAGTACTTAGCATGATTTGCCTTGCATCATAGTTATAAAAGAAATGCATTCAAGCTTTGCTTTTAATGGGTCATCCTTTTCTCTCTCTTACAGTAAGAGTCCATGTTCTCTTCATGTGCCTTTCAACCCTCCCTAATGTGAGCCTTGGGAAATTATGAAAATTTCTAAGGCATAAGTATCAGCAGTTGCAATAAGGGAGGATACTATTTTTTCCACTGTGTTTCAGCTTTTAAGAAATGAGATTTCCTATTTAAAGTTTGGAATTCCCTTAGCATAGTCGTAGATCTAGACAATTTTATACACAGGAAAACAACAAGCTAGTGCAGAGTACTGGCCAGACTTTTAGAGACACAAACTCTTCCAGGTTCCACTTAACCCTTCATAGTTTATGTTTTTGTCATGGTCCCTCTAGGCATACAGTTGTGATTCGCAGGCTTATACATTTCTCACATTCATTCTTTTTGTTCCTAGACACACTTTACTCCAAATTTCTCTGGATTTCTCTGCTGGTATCCTTTAATCATCTCATAAATGCTACCCCATGTTCCTGAAGGTATTTGTGTATTCCTCTTGTCCTCTGTGTGGGCATGGATCACTCCTATAATTCCTCAAAAGTACAAATAACATTAGATTGCAGTGTTTTGACAATGCTTTCCTGTAGTATGGAGTAGGAAACTTTAAAAACAGATGTCAGACACCATGATTCTTGGAGCCTGTTTTCTATGCCCCTTTTAAAAATCAGCATTTTGCCTTGTCCTGCCAACAGCTTATCCATCCTGCATTGGGGAACCTTCTTTCTGTGTTTTCTTCCTAAATCCCATTGCAAACAAAAGTAGCAAAAAACAAAAACAAAACCAAGAGTTGACAGAATAATCTCTGTAGAATTGTACACTTCTCCCAGTGAAGTTAGTTTTTACATTATGAAATGAAATGCGTTAACATTTCTTCCTCAAGTGAGAGATTGCCCAAGAACAATGGGTTAATACTTGTATTACTAATGAATAAAACTACATTTCGGTGGTAAACAAGGATCTAACAGGGCTCTCCAAGGTCAAATTTTAGCTTTTGCCTTTGAAATACAGCAGTTTCTTAGAATAAGTGGCATAAAGGTAGGTTTACCCCAATGGGTGGAAACTGAACATTTTGTCACTGGCATTGTTTAGAATTGCCAGTGCATGGTGATAGTAATAATAATAAAAAAAGCTGACTTTCTTTAAATTGATTTTATTACAGTTTTTAAATTCTCTACAGACAATGCACCCTCTTATTGCCTGCACAGGGAGAATAGTGGGGTAATGGGGGACAGGTGCTATTCCCCTTACCGTCCCCTCCCTGCCACTGCTCAGAATCTCCTCAAATAGCAACTCCCTTTTATTTAATAGCTTAAAGAACCAGGTTCCATCTACAGAAACACCAGATAAAGTGCTGGCAGCACTTTGGGGGTAAAAGAGAATGACTAAATATTTGCTTATATACGTTCCTGATTTCTAGGAACATACATTTTGTTCCTTCAAGACAAAAACTATTATTCTACTGAATTTTTTGTGCAGTATTCCATCTAGAAAGCATCTGGCCAAAATGAGGGCTCAAAGAGTGTTTGTGCTCCTGAATTGAGTTCATTATATGTCCTCTTTGTTTAAAATCCTTGCCTTGCCAAGAATCATGGAGTTTCATCTCAAATTTTCTTAGGCAGTCCCCTGCACGTCTATTGTACCTGTTTCTGTTAAAACAAAGTGTGAAGTAGATGGATTTGGAGTAGAGATTGTGAATCAGAACACTGGTTTGGGCTGCCTTTCTTGCCCAGGGCCAAGGAGGGCAAAGGTTTCACATCAAATATAAAAACAAAAAGAAAGTTTGGAAATAGACCACCTGGGTTTGACCCTGTCTCTACCACTGTCAGCTATGAAGTTGGACAGGTTATTTAGTTCTCCGTGTCCTAATTTTTTCATCCTCAAGTTAGAGAGAAGAACAGTATTTTTTAAATTGGAGTTGTCATGCAGATTAAATGAGGTAAGTCAAGTACAGCATTCTACAAGATGTGGGGACCAGGGAAGCTCATGCACTGTCTGTGGGTGTTTAGTCTGGTGAGGACCAGCACAGAGAGAAAACTGGCAACACTTAACCACATTGAGAATTAAAAGCACACATACAGAGTGCTCGATTTAGCAGAGTGCTCGATTTAGCAGAGTGCTCGATTTAGCAGCACATACACTAAAATTGGAACATACAGAGAATATGTGCATGACCCATGCACAAGGAGGACATGAACACACATGCACACACACACTCACTCACACACACACACACACACACACACTTAGTGATTCCACTCCTAGGAATACGGCCCAGAGAGATGTTTACCCAGCATCATAGGACAAGTATCTTCAATTAATTAGGGGTAGAAACTAACATTAATGGAATTTCTACCATGTGCCAGACACTCTACATAGGTTGTTTCATTCAGTCCTCAAGGCACCCTTACTACAAAATTATTTTATATGTTTAACAATTGGGAGAAATGATTCTCATCGAGGTTCCATAACCTGGCAAGGGCAGTGTGCTAATAACAGGCAAAGTTGGGGTTCAAACTCAGGTTTAAAGTTTCACTCCATTCCAGTATCTCATGCAGAGTCTGAAAAGGTTAATTATCTCTCTTGTTTCCCCCCATAGATTGTTGTGCAGATGAGTTCATATATTCATCACATGATTTTCCAACTTTGTCTCCCTGTCGTCTTTTCTTCTATTTTTACATATTATCTCTCTTTCATCCCATCATCCGCCCCCATTTTTTATAATCTATGCTTTTCTTTTTCTCATTTCACTGAAGATCTTCAACATTACTATATATATCACCCTCTCAGATTAAAGGATAAGAAAAATTCAGTTATACCAAATAATAGTTACAAATTAAAGAGATTGGAACATCAGCTACTATTTAAAACAGAACAGATCAACTGCCTTTTCAGATGTCAGCCAGGTCAGACGATTCATTTCCTTCTTTTTTAAAGTGGACTCAGCTGAATAAAGTGTTTTGGTTTTTAATGAGAGGGCTTTAGGACAAGGTCCAGGTTCACTGATTCCTATTCTATCCATACATTTTCTCACTTTCTTAAAGAATAAACTGTGTCTCTTTAACTTTCAAAATTGAATTTAAATTGTTGCTGGTTAAATAATGCCCACTCTTAGGTAAAGGACATCTGTCATTTAGCCACATGTTTTACTAATGGATTGGTCAGCCTATATTGAGTTCCTAGGTGACATTAACTTTCCAAACATTAATTTATCATATATGATCTGATGATGATTTAGTGTTGCAAGGGTACTGTGCCTGCGTACACACACACACACACACACACACACACACAAGCACCACCCCATCCTTGGGCATAGCCAGCTGCATAAAGATGAATTTGACATTTCATAACTTGCAGGTTATGGTACAAGGGAGCACAGAAATTGGTTCACAATGAGTTTCATTATGAAAGAATAATGCTCTAGCCAAAATAAAAGAGGGATGGATTAATAACAAATGTTCTTCATCTGTATTTGGTGCTGGGCTCTGTGAATTATTTATGTTTCTGGGCAAGGCCTGGAAAGTATTTCAATGAGGCCTAATTTGTCAAGGTTACTTCTACTTTACCATATTTTTCCTAACTATATCTTTCTGGATAGTACCACACATAAATATTTTCATTGTGTTGTGCATTTATTTGCAATATTGATGGCACTGTAAAATGTGGGGTATTAGCACCTCTTTAACCAATGTCAGGCAAGAATTAAGATCGGAAACACCAGTGTCTTCCTTTTAGAAATATGGAGGTTAACTTTGATTATTATTCAGCTTTTGTGGCTGATGAGCCAGCTATAAGTCATACTGTGGAAAATTTATTGTTTAGAAATCATGCTACTGAATATTTTATCTTACTGGAAATGTGCTATAAAGGGGCTGCATCTTTAATCAAGTACACGGTGATGTTGCAATCTCTTAGTTGCACTGTCACATTAAAAAGTCGAGGTTAAGCAAAACTAAAAGCCTGGCTTCTGGGGCGAGCAGTGGTTGTGGATGGGTAGGTAGACACTATTCCTCTAGGAAGTTGTTTTATTTTGCCTTTTATTTCAAATCTCTAAATACGTTGGAAAGGAAGACTTTGGCTCATTGTAATGCTTGGGTCCCAGTTACACCAGGTCAAGAAGCATGAGCTGTACAATAGTTGGGAAGGAAATAAAGAGAGAAATCAAATGTTGTCTGCTCAAGGGTTTTCAGTTTCTGTCCCTGATATACGTTCAAAGTCTCCCAGAAAATCTGAGGAAGTTTCCTGTTCGTGGGTGAATGACTACTTTAATGGCAGAGATGAAGCACACAATTTGTATGTGGAGGTGCCTGGGTGTGCACTTGTTCTAAATGTCTGCTTGCGAGGGACCCCTCAACCCCTCTTCTCCGCCACCCCACACATGGATGCTTGTGGGCTTTTGTTGTCATTGTGTTGGGTTTTGTTTTGTTTAGATATTGAAAAGAGGAAATGATTGTTGGCTCTGACTTTCAGTTCAAATCTTGTGATTATTGGACATACTCTCCTGATACTTTTATTCCTTTACAGTGACTAGAAAACATAAGAGAAGGATTCTGAAGGAGGTTTCAGAATAATAGCTGGATCTGAAAAGAGTCTAGCTGGGAAAAGACCCATAAGGAGGTGAAAAATACCCCTGAAATATTATCAAACCAGCATCAAGCTTGTCTTGACCTTGTTTAGTTACTTTTAGTGTCAATCTTATTGTTCTTTCATAATTTTTCCCCAAAGCCTAATTCCCCTTTAGAAACCTTTATTTCCTCTGCCCCTCGTAAACTGGGGGAACCTAACTGCTTGCTGCACAAGATTTAAAGCCGCTTTACTGAGCCTTACAGTTAGATCCTTTCAAATAATTAATATGTAAACCAGTGCTTTTCAATAGAACATTTTTGGTGATGGAAAATTCTTTACTGTGCGTCTGATGCAGTATCCACTAACCATGTGTTGCAGTTCGGCACTTGAAATGTGGTCAGAGTGCCTGTGAGACTAACTTTTAATTTAAATTTAAATACTCATATGTGACTACTGGCTACCATGCTGAAACAGTGCAGCTCTGTACATACATGCAGTAGTTGACACTCGTTTGTTGAGCAAGTTCAGTGATGTTCATTTAAAACTGTTTTTCTAAGTAAGATGCTATGTCTTATTGAATAATCTCAACACAGTCATTTTTATATATTTGTGTTGGTGTTGGGAGAAGCGGAGATAGAGACAGTTATATTTTTATGTTTATTTATATTATAATTAGGAAAAATTCAGGCTCTTTTGTAGGAAATGTTTTACCATTAAGAATTTAAAGGAAGCCAGGTGCTGTACTACTTTAGAACTAAGAGGACTTATAGCAACACTGTCTACTTACCCAGCAGACAGTGTTCCATTAACTCTGCTTATAAGAAGGGAAGCTCAGAAGCCAGAAATAATGAAATAGGCTTTCGAGTGGCCTCTGGAAAGTACTGTATGGCCCCAGATGTTGCTGGCAGCTTTAATTTTCTATGTTCTTCTACACATGTGCACTTTGCTCAGTCTCACTAGACTACACCCCTTCCTCTCACAAAGAGTGGAGTTTTCCATCCTGCTCTTTGACTTGATTGTCTTTTTCTTTGCTCCTTTTCTCTGTCTGCTGAAATCTCATCTACCTTTGAAAGTGAAGCCCGTGCTCTTTGTATTTGGGCCCTTGGGCTTCGGCTTCTTAAACAGTATGCCTGGGAGTTCTTTCTCTGCAGCTAACAACCTAATAAAACATGAATGGACCCAAAAGGGAGGAGGCTGCCCAGGTTTAAAGTGCACTAGAAAGTTTACTGCTGCTTGAAAACTGCTTTCCAATTAGAAGCATCATTTTCTTTGACAGACAGAAGGCAGAAAGTATAATGTACATGGAGACAGTAGGAAGATCAGGCTTCACAGAGTCTCTGGTTCTTCTCATCTCTTTCCACTCCCATTTCTAGTATTTACAGTTTCCTAATTGACCTCCACCTTTGGAGTATGATAATATGTTTTCTTCTCTGATTCACAAAAAATAATTTGATTATCTGATCTTCATTGGTCTCAAATATCTAGATAGAAAGCATTTTCCATAACAGATTTATATTCCTTAATTTGTTCTCTACTCTTTCCAAGGGGACTATCTTTCAGCATTTTTCCCCCTTAATACCATACTTAAATTATAAGAGTTAGCCAGCGTTCTCTAGTTTCCTTAAATTTTGATCTTTTGTTCTCAGTTGCTCTAAATTTGGGATCATGTAAGCTGTACTCAAAAGACAAGCAGTGATAGTTTAACCAACTGCTTTGCTGTTATGGAGCAAGTACTGCTATCTGCTCTGCTAAGGATCTTAGAATTCTCACTCTTCTCCCACTTGACCAGACTCCGTTAGGTCTGTCACTTGCAACAACTCATCCCTGAAAGTGTATGTACCAATTAGGATTATTTGAGTTTCAAGTGGCAACGTCTCAAATGGATTCAGCTTAAGGAAAAGATGAGATTTATTCAAACTCTACTAGACTATAGAACTATAATGTTACGGGAGGAAGGATTGCAAAAACAGTTAGGCAACATTAACAAATGAAGCCCTCGACTTAACTACCATTAAAAATCTCTCTGCCATTCTGATGTCTTTCTTAATTACTGCCTAGATGTATTCTCCACTGTAGGAAATATGGCCAACAACCATCCAACTTGGAAGGGCTCTGCTTTGTCCAACATGGGTCTGTCTATCTCTAGATCATTTAGCTATAGCCGAGCAGGCAGAGTCATGTCTGATAATATGCTATCTTCACAGCAACTGTAGGCCTGTTGGAGATGGGGCAGGGACACATTATCCAGAATACCAAGGTTACTAGGTGGTAAATGCCCCCCACCCCTTTTAATTAAATGCTTTTTGATTTATTTTGAGAGAGACAGAGGGAGAGAGAGAATCCCAAGAAGGCTCTGTGGTGTCAGTGCAGAGCCTGATATGTACCTCTATCCCATGAACCATGAGATCATGACCTGAGCTGAAATCAAGATTCAGACACTTAACTGAGCCACTCAGGTACCCCCAGCATGCCCTTTGTAGCTCACTTTTTCGTCTCTTCTTCCCACCCTACTGACTTCCAAGTCCAGCTCAAATACCACTATAACCACAATATTAACCCTTTAATGATGCTCTCTAGATGTATGAGAGGGATGTAATTTAAACTGAATAAGTTAAAATCCCAGACAGAGCATTTACTTACTGCTACTTACCAC